TTCTCCAAGATGGCGGCAAAAAAAAAAAAAAAAAGCCGTCATCTCTTCCTCTCTTGCACTCCCACCACCAGTGATTTTAAGAGGAAGAGAAGCTGCTTTTTCCCTAAACATGTCTTTAATGATACACTGTATTAATTATTGTTGCAAAAAAATGTTCTTAGAAAATTCCTATAAACATTTTTGTGGCTTATCAAACAGAAATCACTATCTTAAATTATAATATAGATTGCTTTTACCTTGATTTAGTCTAGCAAAACTAAATGTGAGGCTTGTGGGGAAGACCTTGATATTCTAATACATTATATTTTCTTCTAGCTTATGGATTTTTTTTCTTGAGACCAAGCTTTGCTCTTGTTGCCCAGGCTGAGGTGCAATGGCACGATCTCAGCTCACCACAACCTCCGTCTCTCAGGTTAAAGCAATTCTCCTGCCTCAGGCACCTGAGTAGCTGGGATTACAGACAGGTGCCATCACACCCGGCTAATTTTGTATTTTTAGTTAGGGACGAGGTTTCTCCATGTTGGTAAGGCTGGTCTCAAACTCCCACCTCAGGTGATCCTCCTGCCTTGGCCTCCCAAAGTGCTGGGATTACAGTTGTGAGCCACTGCGCTCGGTGCTTGAGGATTTTTTTTTTTAGATTAGCAATTCCTTATTAGTAGACTCTACAATTTATTTCTCTTTTAAAGAAAGAGAATTTTAACCCATCTTCTAATGGCATTCATATATTTTACTTACATGTCCATAGAGATTTTAGTGAATTGATACATTTATAGTAAATACAAGTGAGCTTTCCAGATTTCATTGCTCTTTCAATTTATGCTTTAGTATAAACAAAAATTATTTTTACGTTTTTAAAAATTGTTGTGGATACATAGTAGGTGTATATGTTTATGGGATATTTTGATACAAGCATGCAGTGTGAAATAAGTGCATCATGGAGAATGAGGTATTCATTTCCTCAAGCATTTTTCCTTTGAGTTACAGACATATTTTACATTTGACTTAAAAATATTTGAACTAAGGCCAAACGAGGTGGCTCACACCTGTAATCCCAACACTTTGGGAGGCCAAGACAGGCATATCACGAGGTCAGGAGTTCGAGACCACCCTGGCCAACATGGCGAAACCCTGTCTCTACTAAAATTACAAAAATTAGCCAGGCGTGGTGGTGTGTGCCTGTAATCCCAGCTACTGGGGAGGCTTAGACAGGAGAATTGCTTGAACCTGGGAGACGGAGGTTGCAGTGAGCCAAGATTGTGCCATTGCACTCCAACCAGGGCAACAGAGCAAGACTCCATCTCAAAAAACAAAAATTTGAACTAATTTAAGCTTGATCTCTAAAATTTCAGCCTGATTTTGACCAATGAAATTTTTCCTTTTTTTGTTTTTTTAAATTTTTATTATTTTTTTCTACACATTCAGAGAAACTTCTCTAGTAACACTATAGAAATGATCCCTGAAAGTATTGTCTTTTTTAATTTGTTTTTTACCAATGGAATTTCAAAAACAAAAATTGTACTTCAGTCTACAATTGAATGGAATTCAGCATAGACCAGTACAATAAAATATACTGGCCTGAAAGGCTTTATAGTTTCCCATTGTTAAGAAAAAATTGAATTTATTTAGGATGTTGCTGGATAACTAGTGCTACAATTTAAAAAATAATTCATTAGCAGTGCCTTATTTACCTTAGAGGAAATAAAGGGGTTAGTGAAGATAATGCTAATAAAATCAAATTATCAAATATAAGCCGAGTGTGGTGGCATGTACCTGTAATCCCAGCTCTTCCAGCTATTCGGGAGGCTAAGATGGGAGGGTCCCTTGAGTCCAGGAGTCTGAGATTGCAGGGAGCTGTGATCGTGCCTGTGTGACAGGCACTCCAGCCTGGGTGACATAGCAAGACCTCATCTCAAAAAAATATATATACTTCTACACTTATAAAATAAATACGCATTTCCTGGAAGAAAGGTACTCTGTAAATTCGAGATCTGAATCAAATTACCCAACTTTTTGGAATTTGATCCTCTAATACTCATGTGAGATTACTGAATTTTCAGAGAAAAAAAATTGACAGGATAATATATAGGTCGTATTTATAGTGAAGATCATAAGTATAAATTAACTTGTTTAATGTTTCCATACTTAGGACAGCTTCTATATAAAAATGTTCATTGGAAGAAAGATAATTTTTAAAACTAAATTTGTATAGTAGTCCTCCATTACTGGCAATTAGGGAGCAACCAACAAAATGGAGAATATTTAATGCCATTATGTGGTTCTTTGATTAGGCATAAAAAGGATTGCAAACAGCTTTTCTATTCCTTTGGAATATGAATCTTTTTAATGTCTAAACATTTTCTAGTAGGACAAGTCAATGTAAATTAGGTAATTTTTGCCTGTTTTATACCTTCTGTTGTATTTTGTTCAAATGAAAACATTTAAAAATTTTTGATTGAATGTTTACTACTCAGATAATTGGTTTGAGTGTGGAATTTCTTTTTTAACACTTTGATATGTAAGTGTAATTAATGACTTTTATAACACTAATAGGCTTTATATTTTATGGAATATGTTTTAAAATTTGAAATTTTTGAAGTGTTAATTTAGCAGTACTTTAAACTATCATTATGTGCCAGTACTGACAAGAAAAACAACTTTTTATGTATTTAATTTACTGTGGTATTCAATAAATTCTATTTTAAAATAAAATTTGAATTTGTTTTATTTTGAATGATGAAAAAATTGAAAAAGAAGCAACAGTGTACTAGATCATGTTCATATAACACAAAAATGGTAATAATTGCTTGAGAAATTGTGTATTTAGGTCTTACAAATTATCCTTTTTTTTTTATTTTTTATTTTTTCTTGCATTGGAAACAAAGTCTCCTTAAAACCTAGAATCTGGCCGGGCGCAGTGGCTCACGCCTGTAATTCCAGCACTTTGGGAAGCTAAGGCAGGCAGATCACCTCAGATTGAGAGTTCAAGACCAGCCTGACCAACATGGAGAAAACCATCTCTACTTAAAATATCAAATTAGTTGGGCATGGTAGACCATGTCTGTAATCCCAGCTACTCAGGAGACTGAAGCAGGAGAATTGCTTGATCCTGAGAGGCAGACATTGTAGTGAGCTGAGATTGCACCCAACCAAGATAGCATCATTGCACTCCAGCCCGGGCAACAAGAGCAAAACTCGGTCTCAAAAAAAAAAATTTTTTTTTGAAATGTTAGTTTAACAGTACCTTAAGCTATCATTATGTGTCAATACTGACAAAAAGAATTTTTTATGTATTTAATTTACTATGGTATTCAATACATTCTATTTTAAAGTAGAATTTGAGTTTGTTTTATTTTGAATGATGAAAAAATAATTTAAAAAGTAAGTTTGCTAGTTCATGTTCATATAACACAAAAATGGTAATAATTGCTTAAGAAATTGTGTAGTTAGGCCGGGCGCGGTGGCTCATGCCTATAATCCTAGCACTTTGGGAGGCCGAGGCGGGTGGATCACGAGGTCAAGAGATCGAGACCATCCTGGTCAACATGGTGAAACCCCATCTCTACTAAAA